ATGCGTCAGTCGACCGAAAAACAAACGACACCATCCCAAGGCTTATGATGTCCCAACCTATTTCAGCCTTGATCACCAGAAATAATTTCGAGCACCAGGAAGTACCGAAACTTACGGGTTTTCACGAGTCTGGCCCTGGGAGGCGTTTTTCGTTCGACACTGTCTCGAAACTCGTCGTACAAGTCGTGTAAAGGATGTGGTGCAGGCTACGTTGTGCAGTCTGCGTGGTGCGCGCTCTGCGCTGCACGCTATGTGGTGAATCACCACCTACCAAACCACCCCAACCCAACCCGAAGGCCCAACTCGACCCTCGATTTCCAGTTGGGGGGGGTCGGGGAGTATCGACAAAACACATGTGGAACCCGTTCCCCCCAACCCGAAACTTGGGTCTTCGGGTTAGGTTGGGGTGGTCTGGTAGGTAGTCAGTGAAAGATCTGTGATGCAGGCTACGCTGGACGGCCACGGGGCGGCCCGGGGGGCGGCCACGGGGCCACCCAAGAAGCCTTCGGGTTAGCAGCCCCAGTGCCGGAGCAAAAAGGCAAAAAGTTCGCCAGCGTGAACCCCAAGCAGCGAGCTGCTGCAGTCGATGCGGTGCGGTGGGGGTGGTGCAATCAGTTTGGTGCAATCTAGGTGGTGCGCTCTATGTGGTGAGATCTACGCGACGCAGGGCAGCGCAAAGCAACGCAAAGCGATGCAGCATGACGCCAAACAATGGTGAGCAATGCAAAGCAATGCAGCGCAGTGCAAATCATCGCAAAGAAAGCAATGTACATCAATGGGATGTAATGCGGAGTGGAGCAAATCAGTGCACAGTGACGCAGGCCCAGACGGCGACTGGGCGGCGACTGCGACCACATGGCCGCCAGCCCGCCAGGCAGGCCCAGAGCGACGGGGCGGCGACGGCGGCCACACGGCGGCCAGACCGACGGGCTTGCCCAGAAGACGAGCGGTGACGGGGCGGCGACGGCGACCACACAGCCGCCAGACCGACGGGCAGGCCCAGTTCCTTAAAAAAGAAATAGCTGCCCCTAGGTGCAAGCACCGTCTGGGGAACCGGTATGGACCCCTGAGTGACAGCAATGTTTAGGGACAAGTAATTGAAAATTGATGTGAACTTCATGATTCTGGCCAAATGGAGGTCGTCTTGGAGCGCTCTTGGGGCGTCTTGGGGGCCTCCTGGGCCGTCTGGAGAGCATCTTTGGCCGTGTTGGGTGCATCTTGGGTCGTCTTGGAGACATGTTGCGCCTTAGAGGCCCTCTCGGGGCCGTCTTGCGTGGGAAAACCGATGGACACTCATTTTCCTGGGTTTTTCGGGTGGCCAGCGGGCTGGGCCAGAGGCTTGTGGGAACTTTTTGGAAGGGCCAAAAGGACCTAACGTCCAGCACGCCGTGAACCCTTGTGGCACCCCTGTGGCAAGCAGCAGGGTGGCGGCCCACCTGCGTCTAGAGGGCTGGTGGAATTAGTCGGAAGCTGGGGACATCTCCCTGGGATGAATCCGGCGCTGGGTCGCCTGCGGGCTCAACGAGTCTTCCCCACTCCGTCCCACTCGTGATCCTCTCATCACCGTCCTTCCTCCCTCCTTCTTCCCCGCTTCCTTTCGTTTCCTCAAGGCAGGCACCCTTCTCAGGGGAGGTCCCAGGGTGCAGCTGGAAAGAGACCAGCCCCTACATTTTGGCGCGCATTGCCTCCCATAGCGCTTCAGGGCGTCCTTGCTCAAGTAAGGCATGCACTCGCCAAGCCTGAGTTCAACCAAACAAGCCTCTCTCCCGCTCGGTTGCAACTCCTGGGAGGTTGAATTCAGAATCTGCGCTGGTATACCCGCTTTCGGAAACCGCCCTCCTCTGGCCAAGTCCCGTTCGTTCCTGCTTAATATTGCTCACATCCAGGGCTTAATCAGGGCTGGTCTGGTTCCATGGCCTCGCAATCGGGCTTCATCACATCGCCCTGAGTCGTTCTTACGAAGACCTCCCCGGAGTTGCCCCCTAATTCCCACACCTGATTATTGTAGGTTCGCGTCGTGTCGACCAGCGGCGACCCCGCCGCCAGCGCTCAAGCTTGAACGCTGCCGGCGACCCGGAATCGGTCGATGTTGAACCATCGGACGCTTCGGAAACGGCAGATTTTTCAAGGTTGAACGATCCCCGCGGTGTCACAAACCAATGCCTGGGTTGTCGCGACACGAACCTGCACTATCCTCATCACCGTCCCTCCACCCTCCCAGGAGTTGCCCCCTAATTTCCACACCTGCCTATCCTCATCACCGTCCCTTCTTCCCTCCTCCCTGCTCCTCCTCCTCCTCCTCCTCGTCCTCCTCCTCCTCTTCCTCCTCCCCCTCCTCCTCCCTTACTCCTCGTCCTCCTCCTCCTCCTCCTCCTCCTCGCTCCTCCTCGCTCCTTCTCGCTCCTCCTCCTCCTCCTCCTCCTCCTCTTTCTCCTTCTCCTCCTCCTCCTCCTCCTTCTCCTCCTCCTCCTCCTCCTTCTCCTCCTCCTCCTCCTCCATTATTTTTCCTTATGAATATTTTCTCTCTGTCGTACCCCGAAGCTAGTTTTTAGGGCGGGCCGAGCGTTTTGCATGAGATGTCCGCACCATTTATGATTCTGAAGCTTAAAAAGATGGTAACAGTTTCACAGATCGAGGGCGGTTCGTTTTCAACATGTGGCTCTCGCCTCAACGCGGCCCACATTCGTTGTAAAAATGCCAGAGCTTCGCGGATTGAGGGCGGGTCGTTTTCAAAATGTGGTTCTCGCGTGAGGGCGGCGCACATGTGTTTTAAACATTTTCAAGAGCTTCACGGATTGAAGGCGACCCGTTTTCAACATGTGGCTCTCGCCTTAACGCGGCGCACCTTCGTTTTCAAAAAATTGCAAAAGTTTCACGGATTGAGGGCGGTTCTTTTTCAAACTGTGGTTCTCGCCTTAGCGTTAAGTCGGGCCAGTCCCTCTACAGGAGGAATATTCAAAAATAGTTATAAAAATGGGGGCGATGTTTGGAGCATTTTTTGATTATTAATGATTATGTTTAGAGTATGTTTTTGATTTTTCGCTCAATGTACCAGACATGGGGTTTTGAAAGGATTCAGGACTATGCGGGTGCAGCAGTTACGTTGGTTCGCTGTGTTGAAGTTCCAAGAATGGCGTTCTGGCACGATTCATGATGGTCAAGACGCAACGATCAGGTTGATCCGTGGCGTTGGAATCCCGAGAACAATGTTTTGGCATGCTTCAGGATCTTCAAACGGATGTCTTTCAACAAGGCAATTCCCTCAATGGAAATGAACCGTTGTAGGGGCCTATGAAGAGGGAGCGTGGATGGAGGGTTTATTCCAACATCGTTGACGGCTCTTGGGTTTACACTGGTCCTCCTCTTCCTCCTCCTCGCTTCTCCTCCTCGCTTCTCCTCCTCCTCCTCCGCCTCCTCCTCGCTTCTCTCCCCCCTCCCTTCCGGCTCCTGTCCCCCCCACTCGCCGTCGCCCAGGAGCCGCCCCGGAACTGCCGGACTTCAGGAGCTCGGGGTCGCCGCCGCCGCCGCCGCCGTCGCCGTCGCCGTCGCCGTCACCGTCGTCGTCGCCGTCGCCGTCGCCGTCGCCGCCGCCGTCGAACCAGTGTCGACATACATCCTCACATCGCGGGCGCGAATGGGCCAAGGATGCTCCTCTGGCGGCCTCTCCCTTGCGGTGGCCGCAGGTTGCGCCTGCCACACCGCGGTCGGGGCTCTCAGGCGGAGAGGGCCCGAGACGCCGAAGCGGGCGGCGCTCCCACAATCGGGGCCTGGACGGGCAAGCGCTTCCCCCGTGGTGGTTCCCGCCCGGGGGGGGCTCGGGTGCCGCGCCTCGGCAGCAGATGCCGCGCGCACCTCTCGGCCCCACGCCGCGCCCTCGCGCGGCCGCCCCTGGCCGCGCCCAAGGCGCGGGCCGGGGCGTCTCCCGCCCATCGGGCACGCCGCCGCGCCCTACCCCCCTGGCGACGCGGGCGGCGCTCGCGGGCAGGCCGCGGCGACCTCCCCCCCCCCCCAAAAAAAACGCCTGCTACAGTGAGCGGCCGGAAGGAGGAACGCTTGCTCTATAAAAGAGGCTCGGGCGTTCCTCAGGCTTGCATGCGTTATTTAGCGTTCCTTGTGCGTTATTTCTTATTTGCGGTTCATGATGCGTTGTTCCTTGCCAAAAAAGGGGCTTCGTTCCTTATTAATCGTTCTTTAGGTCAGGCCGGTGACTGTATGTGGCGATGAGCATGGGCCATGGGGCTCTGAAAAGAACAGGGCCTGGGCCACCAAGCAGGCAAACCGCCCGAGACATCCCCACGATCTGAGCGCGAACGGGGGCAGATGTAGTCTGAAGTCGGGCACGTCCCTTTACAAGAGGAAGAAATTCAAAAATGGTAAAACATAGTCATGGGACGATTTTGTTATATTATGTTTTGGCTAACTTGGGGCATTTGTTTGACTTTTTGACGAGGAGGAGGAGGAGGAGCAGGAGGAGGAGGAGGAGGAGGAGGAGGAGGAGGAGGAGGGGGGGAGGAGGGGGAGGAGGGGGGGGGAGGGAGGAGGGGGAGGGGGGAGGAGGGGAGGAGGAGGAGGAGGAGGAGGAGGGAGGAGGAGCTGCGAGGTTTCGGGCACTCTGCTACTCCGCCGTGCTTCCCAAGCGGCGACAGTTGCGCACTTCGCAGCTGCCCGAGGAGCTGCGAGGTCTCGCGTACTCTGCTACTCCGCCGTGCCTCCGATGAGCCCGCTAAAGTGGCGACAGTTGCACAGTTCGCAGCCAGCCAGGGAGCCGCGAGTTCTCGCGTACTCCGCTACTCCGCCGTGCCCCCCGTGAGCCCATGAGAGTGGCGACAGTTGCGCACTTCGCAGCCATCCAGGAAGCAGCGCGGGAGGGGGCAAGAAGACGGAATAAAGAGGCGGGAGGAAGAGGATGCCGAGACCACAGTGTTATCTTCAAAACGAGAACCCATAACACAGGGGTTCGGAAAACATTTGGGCCAACAAACAGGCAAATCGTCTGAGACATCCCGCAATATGGGTTCCTCCTTCACCTCCTTCCTCTCCCTCTTCCTCCCCCTCATTCGCAGGCCTAGAGGTTGACACCAACACCAATATCGGCGGTGTGCCTCCACCGAGGGAAGAAGATCCCGATCTCGGTGATGGTGGCAGTATTCTGGCTTCCAAGGTGACCGACATAATACCACCAACACCGAAATCTACGATCATCTTCCCCCTGTGGAGGCAACCCCCTGTGTTGGTGTTGGTGCCCATTTCCAGGCTTCCAACTCATCTTTTTCCTCCTCCCTCGTCCTCCTACCCCCCTCACTCCTCCCTCATCCACCGCCTCAAGCGTCGCGGTGCAAAGCTTGCTGGGCAGTGGTCATCCCAGGCATCTTCATATCATGTGTGTGTGTGTGTGACTGTGTGTCCCCATCGCCATCGCTGAGCCGCCGCAGAGCCCCCCTCGTCGTCGCTGTCCTCACCGCCGCCGCCGTCGTCGCTGCCGCCATCCTCGCCGCCGCCTTGCAGGCCTGTCCTAGGGGGCGGTCTGGCCAGAACTCCGAGGCGAACCCAGCCGTGGCCACGAGGACGCCCCTTGAGACCCCATGGAGGGCCAGGAGAGCTGCAGGCGCCTCGACGTCTGGCCCTCGAGCCTTCCGACAGCGCGCTTGTGCATTGCAGTCAGTCCGTCTTTGCCCCGCTGGCCCAGCCTTGGCCACAGTCGCTGGCCGCGCCCCGCTCAAAAGGTGTCGACATCATGGCTCCCCAAGGCACTCTGCATCCTCATCGTGCATCCTTACAGTGGAGAGCCATGCCAAGAAACAACCTAGTGCACTGGGTTTCCAGGGTACCCTGGGTTCCTTGGGTTTCGATGGTTTTGCTACGGAAAGCGTGATGCTCCCACACCAGAAATCCGTGGACGTCCTGGGGTCTCAGGGTTGGGTTTCTCGTGGAAGGCCTCTTGTGGACTGTCCTCCGCTGACCCCTGCAGGGGGCGGTGCTCCTCTCAGGACGTGTGTTAGCCCAATGTTCAGGAGGGAAAAAATCACAGACACAATTCATCGTCGATTCCCCCGAAAATATCGGAAAATATGGGAAGTGGGGGGTAGACAGAAATCCAGAACACATGGGAACATACGGGGAATCCTGTTATTTGTATGTGTGTATTTATTTGTGTGTGTCCCAGGGCCCCTTCGTGTTAGCCCAATGTGTGCTGGCCCCGTTTGGCCTCACCGACGGCCCACTGCCCGTGCCGGCCCTCCCTGCACGCCGCCCGCACCGTATATCGCAGTGCCCTCGCTGCACAATGTGCCGTGCCTCCTCCTCCTCCTCCTCCTCCTCCTCCTCCTCCTCGGTGACGTGCCTCGGCCGCAGCGCGCCTGTGCGCCGTCCTCGCCCGCCTCGCCGCTCCGCCGCCCTTGGCCGGGGCGCCTCCTCGCCGGCCGCGGTGCGCGCCCCCGCGAGCGACCTCGACGCGCAGCTGGCGGAGGAGGACCCCGCGTCGCAGGCCGCCGCCAGGCGCCGCGTGGATCGTCGTCGTCGTCGTCGTCGTCGTCGTCGTCGTCGTCGTCGTCGTCGTATTCGTTGTTGCTGTTGTTGTTGTTGTTGTTGTTGGTGGTGGTGTTGTTGTTGTTGTTGTTGTTGTTGTTGTTGTTGTTGCTATTGCTGTTGTTGTCGTTGCTATTGTCGTTGCTGTTGTTGTTGTTGGTGGTGGTGGTGCTGTTGTTGATGTTGTTGTTGTGGTTGTTGTGGTTGTTGTCGTTGTTGTCGTTGTTGTTGTGGTTGTTTTTGTGGTTGTTGTTGGTGTTGTTGGTGTTGTTGTTGTTGGTGTTGTTGGTGTTGTTGTTGGTGTTGTTGTTCTTGGTGGTGGTGTTGGTTATTGTCGTTGTTGTTGTTGTTGTTGTTGTTGTTGCTGTTGCTGTTGTTGTTGGTGTTGGTGTCGGTGTTGTTGTTGGTGGTGTTGTTGTTGTTGTTGTTGTTGTTGTTGTTGTTGTTGTTGCTGTTGTTGTTGTTGTTGTTGTTGTTGTTGAAGCCCGCTGCCGGGGCCCCGGGAGAGGGGGGGGCGAACAAAGCACATCGGAATAGCGGGGCCCGGAGAGGGCCAATCGGGTCTGCATGGGAGTCCTCAGGGCGCCCCATGAGTTTCCGCACGGATCCCGTAGGGGTCCCAGGGGGTTCTGCAGGGATCCCACAGGGGCCCCAGGAGGTGCTGTAGGGATCCCACAAGGGGCCCCTGGGAGGCCTCGGGTCCGGCTCGGCGCGCCCCTCACACATGTCGTGGCCCGGGTGGGTTTCACTGGAGGGTTGGGGTTACTTTCGGCACGCCCCCCCCCACACGCTTCGTGGCCCCACTCGAGGCTCCGCCGAAGGCCTCGGGTCTACTTCGGCACACCCCTCACACGTTCCCTGGCCGTGGTGGGTTTCACCGAAGGTCTCGGGCCAATGTCGGCACACCCTTCACATGTTTCGTGGCCCCAGTGGGCTTCACCGAAGGGTTCAGGCGACTTTCGTAGGGGGCCACATGCGAACCCTACCCCTACCTGCCCCCCACGACTTCTGAGGGGTAGGGGTAGGGTTCACTCCGCTCGGGAGCTCCCGAGCGAAGTGAACCCCACCCTCCCCCTCAGAAATCGTGGGGGGCAGGTAAGGGTAGGGTTCGCATGTGGCCCCCTATTTCGGCACACCCCTCACACGCTTCAGCGAAGGCCTCGGGTCCAGTGCGGCGCACCCCTCTGCAGAGCGCGCAGCGTGCCCGTACGCCCCTGGGCGTTGGCTCCGTCCGGGGATGCCTTTCTGGGTGTCCTTCGGATTTCGATGGAGTCCCTTCGGATTCCAATGTTTTTTTTTTGTTTTAGGATCCCTGCTGATTTCCTGGGAATCCATATGGGTTCCATCAGGATTCCTTGGGATGTCTTCAGGCATCGCACGGGCTTCCTTCGGACTCCGATCCTTCTTCTCTTCCTCCTCCTCCTCCTCCTCCTCCTCCTTCTTCTTTCTCCTCCTCCTCCTCCTCCTCCTCCTCCCTCCTCCCTCCTCCCTCCTTCCTCTTTCTCCCTTTTCCACCCCCTTCTGCTGCGACGGCCTCCGCCTCAGGACGCTCGAGGGGTGCCGTGACGGTCGCAGTGTCAGACAGTGCGGCGCAGGTCACGGCCGAGCGTGGTCGGTCGACAGTCAGAGATGGTCGGGGCGAGGAGCGCCCAGTGAATGATCCCTTCCTGCTATCGTTCCTCCCTCCTCCTCCTGAAGCGACCTCGGCCCCCCCCTCTTCGTAGAGCAGATGTACAGCAAATCACAATTTGCACGCGCACGCAACGTAGCAAGAGCACAGCAGCAGTAGATGTCGCATCGTTCTCGAAACTTAGCCTCACCGAGAGATTTAAACTCCTGGAGTTTCACCGCAAATGGTAGAGCGAAGACAACTCGGGGCTCCCAGGGGAGGGCGCACCTTCTCCGATCCGTTTGGCGCGCACTGCAGGTCGTACATATCGATTGTGTTCCTCCCGACATGTGTTGCAGTTGATCCTTCGATTCGAGGCCCGATGCAGCGACCGACCGACCTCCTCCCCCTCTCTCTTCCTCCCTTTTCCTCCCTCCACCCCCTCCTCTTCTCCCTCCTCCCTCCTCCCTCTCCCGTCCCTCTTTCCTCCCTCTTCCTCCTCCCTCCTCCTTTCCCTTTTCGCCCCCCTTGTCTCCTCCCTCCTCCTGCCTTCCTCCTCCCTCCCTCTTCCATTCCCCTTTCCGTCCTCCCTCGTCGCTCCCGTTTGATACTTCCTCACCTTTTACGCAAGACTCGGGCCCTCGTTTCGGCATCGCCTCTGAGGGGCTTCCAAGAGTCCCTGTTGAACCTAATTATTTGATAACTATCACTTTTGGAGGGCATCGATAATGTGGAGGAGGAGAAGAAGGAGGACGAATGACTTCCAGGGGCTCCAAGGATCGAGGGTCGAAGGATTGACTTCAGGGATTCCTTGAGAGGGTGTAAGGGGGCAGGTGGAGGATGCGAGCATGGGATCGGCACAGCCTGGGGGCGTGAACGTTCAGGGTCACGCGCCGAGGCCGCAGGATTGTGACGTAACTGTTCGAACGACCTCGCCCTCGGAGGTACTGCTACTACAACTACTCTTCCTTCCTCCCCTTCCTCCTTCCTCCTCCCCCTCCTCTCCTCTCCCTCTTCCTCTCCCTCATCTTCCCTCCCCTCTTCGTCCTCTTCCTCCTCCTCCGAGATGCGGGGCGCGCGCAAGGCGATTGCGATAGCGATGTGCCGCCCGAGCTGTGGATGTCGAAGTTCCTCGGAAGAGGTGGTGGCAATATTTTCTTGGGCGGGAGATCTGGGGAGGGAATGTCGGGCCCCGCATACCAGCCAAACCCCCCATGATGGGGCGCGGTGTCCAGACGGGTGCGTATGACATGTGGAAGCGCGGCGTATGACGGTGAAATGATTGTTGTCGTTGTCGGTGTTGTTGTTGTTGTTGTTGTTGTTGTTGGTGGCGGCGGTGGTGGTGGCGTTGTCGTTGGTGGCGGCGGTGGCGGTGGCGTTGGTGTTGGCGCCGGCGTCGGCGTCGTCGTTGTTGTTGTTGTTGTTGAACATTATTAATTCTAAAGAATAAGAATAATTATTGTTGGGGCCCCTGGTGCACGGCCCCCCTGCGCCGCCTAGGCCGCAGCTACATTTTCATCATTTTCGTGAGGAAGCCTCAGGTAATTCGATGTGATCAAGATCCGGTTGTTTTGTCCCCCCCCGCTTTCCCTTGCAAAAAACACTATAAAATGACATTTCTTGTTCTAATATAATCAAATTTCAAGAATCCCTTGCAAAAAATAAGGTAAAGTGGACATTCGCGCGCGCAAGACGAAATCCTTCCAAAAGCTTAGTGTTCGGAGCGATTTTAACATAAAAACATCAAAAAACCAATGGTTTTTCAACAAAAAATGTCAAAATCTCATCCCGCGCGCTCTTGCGGATTCGTAGGAAAAACACTTTTTAAACATTTCTGTCAAACGGGCTTTTGCGAGCAACTTTTTCGAACTTCTGCGACAACGGTTGCGCACCTGCCAGGGCCATCATCCCTGTCAAATAATACCATGCGGGACACATTCGTTTTTTTCGCGCGCACGCCGAAATCTCCAATCTGTCTCTCTCTCTGTCTCTCTGTATTATGTATTGTATGGCACAATTGCACCATGCTGGGCACATGCGCGCCCCGAATAAGTGACCAAGTTCTGTGGGTGTGTACCCCACGCCAGTGTAGTAGCCACGGTCGTCCGCACGCCACGAATGAAGTGTCCCAACGTCATAGGGCGGGAAGCTGGGTTTGGGTGGTCGCGAAGAGTCGTTTGGATATTTGGTAGAGCTTGTAATGCCCCCCCACGAAGTGGGGGTATTGCCTGGTGTCGTATGAAAACCCTGGCACTGGGAAGAACACCACGCGTTCGGGTAAAATGATTGCTGCTGTTGCTGTTGCTGTTGCTGTTGCTGTTGCTGTTGCTGTTGCTGTGGTCGTCGTTGCGGTCGTCGTCGTCGTCGTCGATGTTGTTGTTGTGGTCGCTGTCGTTGTCGTCGCCGCGGCTGCCGTGACTCCTGTTTTTCGTCGTCGCCGTCGTCGGAGGTGGGGGGGGGAGGGGGCGGAGGAGGAGGATGGGGAAGAGGAGGAGGAGGAGGAGGAGGACGAGAATGAGGAGGAGGAGTGGCGAGCAAAACGAAGAGGGACTTCCCCGGTCTCCCCTGGCGCCCTCCTTCTCTCTCCCTCCTCCCATCCGTTCGCTTTCCCTTCCCGATGTCCCTTCGCTCCTCCCCCGTCCCTCCTGTAGCTGCACCCCTCCTCTTCCTGTCCCCCGACCCCCATTGGTCCCCCCCTGCTTCGCCTTCCCCTTTCTCATCATCCTCATGGTCCTCTTCCTCCACCTTCCTCCTCCTCGTCCTCCTCCTTTCCCAGGATTCCCCCTGCTCCTTCCTCCTCCTTGTCTCCTCGTTCCTAGCTCCTCCTCCCTCGCTCCTCGCTCCTCGCTCCGGTGTTGTCGCCGCCGCATCTGCCATCTTCGCCGCCGCCGTTGTCGCCGTCGCCGTTGCTGCCGCCATCGTCGCCGCCCTCGTCGCCGTGCCCGCCGCCGTCGCCGTCGCCGCCCTTCGCCCCCGCTGCCCGCGCGTAGTTCGTCCGCACCGTTCGGCGGCGACGGCGGCGGCATGATCGTTGCCGACGCGCCGGACCTGAACGTCGTGCAGACGCGTGCGCCGCCGGACTGGCCGCCCGTGGGGGGGGTAGGCTCAGGGGCAGCGCCAGAGAGGGACAGGCTCAGTGGCAGCGTTGGGGCCCCCCCCCCCCCCCCACCCATCTCAGGGACAGCGTTGGGGGGGGGGGGCAGGCTCACAAGGGGCTCCGAGGTTTCGGACGTTTTCGTTGGTTTTCCGCGGTCTTCCAAGGTCGGGCGTCTCTTCAGCAGCCACTCCTCGCCGAGGGCGTTCCGGGTGTGCCGGGATCGTCGCGAATGGCCGCCAGAGAGCCGAACCATGACCCGGAAATTCGGCGGCAGCGCTAAGGGGGGCATAGGTGCAGAGGGAGACGCATCGACCCCCAACGCTTAGCGCAGAACATTTCTCTGGAGGCCGGGGGAACTCCTGAGAAACCCCGCCGCCTTCTGGGAAGGCCTCCTCCTCCTCGTCCTCCTCCTCCTCCTCCTCCTCCTCCTCCTCCCCTCCTCCTCCTCCTCCTCCTCCTCCTCCTCCTCCTTTTCCTCCTCCTCTTCTTCCTCCTCCTCCTCCCTTCCCCCCCTCGCTCGCCGCGTGGCCTCTTCGAGGCATGCCAGAGCTCACCCCCTCCCGGCGGGGAAGGTATCAAAGGGCATCAAAGGGCACGCGCACGCGCACGC